CTGCAAAAAGACCTCACTATTACTCAACAAGACCTCAAATCCGCCCAAAGAGTAATTGGATTAAGAACCATTGAGCCAGAAAACAAAGAGAGTAAAGAACGAGAAATAGATTACTGACCCTGAATTAGACTGGGTAGTTTAGCCCTAATAATTTATTTACTCCATCAAGATCAAGAAAAATAATCATGAACGACCTCCTATTCTACGCCCTATTAATTGCCCTCCTCTATTACTTTTTCTATTACCTACCTAACCAGAAAAAGCCTTTAACTCCTCCTCTTAAACCTTTTACCCAAGACCATAGCACTCAAACTGCTGACCCCGAACCAGTTATTGAATTTCCTTCCGCTCAATTTAAACCGGTTAATCAAGAAGACCCCGAAATAGAAAAAACCCTGGATCAACTAATTAAAAACATTCAACAACTCAATAAATCCCTTCAATAATCATGCTTAAAAACAAACTAGAACTACTAACTAAAGAATTCACCACTCTCAAAGAGAAAATTACGCAAAAACTCCAAGCCCACCAGCAAACGATTACGGAAACCAACACTAAACTTCAAGAATCTAATCGCAAAGTGGAAGAACTAACTAAAGAAAACTCCGAAAATGAAAAAGTTTTAGAGCAATTACTGAAAGAATTTAAAGAACTCAGTCAACAATTAGAATAATATGCTTCGCGAACAAGTTTTAAGGGAGTGAAGTAATTTTAAAGAGAAAATAACTAATTTTCAAACTACTACCCTCACTAAAAAAGAGATGGAATTTTTAAAATTCTTAGCCACTAATGCTCTAGAAGAGACCCCTTTACCTATGTTCCCCTTGGATGTTAAAAATTGTCGAAGAAATTTAAACCACTGAACTAGTGCCAACTACCAGGGGAAAATTGATGAACACAGAACAGCCCTCCTCAACCAGAGCAAACAATTAGGAGAAATCAATGAACACTTGAGTTTCTTAGAATTGGTTTACTTAGATAAAATTAGCATGTTTAACAGTTTAGTGGAAGGGTGAAAGCAAGAGCACGATAATCATTCCGATTCTGGACCAACTATTGAAGAAGTAGACTAAGATGCCAAAAAAAAAAAAAAA